TAAAATATATTTTATTGATTTTTTTACAGAGAGGAAGAGAGAGGGATAGAGAGTTAAAAACATCGACGAGAGAGAATCATCGATCAGCTGCCTCTTGCACACCCCCTACTGAGGATGTGCCCACAACCAAGGTACATGCCCTTGACCGGAATCGAACCCGGGACCCTTTAGTCCGCAGGCTGACACTCTATCCACTGAGCCAAACCGGTTTCGGCTACTTTTTATTTTTATTCTTTATTGATTAAGGTATTACATATTTGTCCTTAACCCCCCATTCCAACCCCCCTCCCCTGACATAGTGGGTTTTAATCTTGGGGAAGAACATTAGAATTTTAGAAGTTGAAGGAACCTTAAAAGATCCACTAATTTTACATTCTTATTGGGCAGGTTGGGCATCAAGCCGGAATTGGAATCTAGACATTTTGGTTTTGCTCCTCCTCCCCATCACTGTCACTGGTGCCGGATAGGCAAGATGAGCAAGACTGGGGCACCGATGGCCTCACTTTGCTTTAATTCAGGCTTCAAGTCTATGCTTATGGGCGTGATTTCTTTATTTTTGTTTGTTTTAGGAAGTTAATTCTAGCAGACAAGTATTTAATGTTGGGTGAGCTTTGGGGGAGAATTTACTAGTAAGGTATCCTGTATAAGAATCTATATAATAAAAGCCTAAGCAACCATTACAGCCGAAGGACCAGAACAACCGGTCGCTATGACACACACTGACCATCAGGGGCAGATGCTCAATGCAGGAGCTGCCCCCTGGTGGTCAGTGAGCTCCCATAGGGAGAGTGCCGCTCAGCCAGAAGCTGGGCTCACAGCTGGTAAGCGCAGCAGTGGTGGCAGGAGCCTCTCCCGCCCCCACAGCAGTGCTAAGGAGCAGCGAGCATGCAGGCAGTAAAGAGCGAAGGATTCTGGACTGTGAGAGGAATATCTGCCTGCCTGCTTAGGCCCAATCCCAGGGCGTGGGCCTAAAAGGCAGGCAGACATCCTCTGAGGGGTCCGGGACTGCGAGGGTGCAGGTCGGGCTGAGGGCAAACCCCTCCCCCCAGTGCATGAATTTTGTGCACTGGGCCTCTAGTCCTATATAATAAAGAGGTAATGTGCAAATTAACCCTCAGGCCCTCACAAGATGGCTGCCTACGACCAGGCCGGCAGGGGGTTAGTGAGGGATGACCAAATGACTGAACAAGCAGGCTGCGTGGGGTGGCCAGTCTGTCAGGGGTGGGCAGTTGGGGATGACCAGGCTGGTGAGGGGCCAGTTGGGGGTGACCAGGCTAGTGGGAGGAGGTGCAGCTAGGGGCGACTAGGCCGGCAGGGGGGGTAGTTGGGCGTGATTAGGCTGGTGAGGGGTAAGGGGGTAGTGAAGGGTGATCAGTTAGGGGTGACCAGGCAGGCAGGTGAGCAATTAGGAGCCCTCGGTCTAGGATTGTGGGAGAGATGTCTGACTGCCAGTTTAGGCCTGATCCCCGGATTGAAGAGGGTGCAGACTGGGCTGAGGGGAGCCCCCCCCCCCCACCTGTGTATGAATTTTGAGCACTGGGCCTCTAGTTGTTAATAATTTGCTAAATAGTATTGTTAATTATTAACAGTTCTTTCACTTTGCTTTTTAATGCCAGCCTGAAACCAGATGTTCTGAGTGAACAATGAATTGTATTTGGGGAGGTGCTCCACATTCCACTCTCTGGAGGCAGATGAAAATTCTCTAGAAGTCTCCGCGGATATTGGCTTCCACTGAAGAGAGTGTATCTTATTCATCTTTATAGGTAGTCCAAAGACTGTTTGGGGCCCCTGAAATGGGACCCTCCATTTTCATTCTTTTGGTGCTTGTCAGGCACCACGCTGAACCCCTGACACGCAGCTGAGTAAGCTTTGTACCTTGTCATCTGTCAAGAGAGGAGCATGTGAAAGAAGGAGCATTTGTCCCCAATTGGTGGCACAGATGTGGCCAGATGGGCATGGCTCATGCTAGTGCTGCTTCAGCTTTTCATTGGATTTTTTTCTTTTAAAAGTCTTTTAGAAGCATAACTGTACCACTCCGACACAACTGTGGTGGTTTTTGTCTTTTTCCTTCTAGTCTTCCCCTATATTTTTTAAAATATATATATTTTATTGATTTTTTTGCAAAGAGGAAGAGAGAAGGATAGAGAGTTAGAAACATCGATGAGAGAGAAACATCGACCAGCTGCCTCTTGCACACTCCCCACTGGGGAATGTGCCCACAACCAAGGTACATGCCCTCGACGGGAATCGAACCTGGGACCTTTCAGTCCGCAGACCGACGCTCTACCACTGAACCAAACCGGCTTTAGCCCCCCATAGTTTTACATGGTTGTACGTACATTATATTCTGAAATGGGTATTTTGTCATGAACTTTTCCCACGTTTCTTCACAGCACCATGAGTGTCTGTATTTAGCCAGCTCCTTATTGTTAACTTATTTTTTCTCACAGGAGCCTACCCCGACACTTTTTATGTTCCCAGTGGGGTTTGTTTATTTATTTATTTACTTATTTATTTATTTATTTTTTATTCCTAGGCTCTATTTCCTAGAGGAATATTACTGGGTCAGAGAGCATGACCATCTTACAACTCTGGAAATACAGTGCCTATTTTTTTATAACCCAACAGCCTTCCTTGAAATGATGTCAGATTAGACTGATAAACTGCCTGCTCTGCCGCCATCACCTGCACTTTCCCGGGGCTCTGTAGGTGGGCTGCACACACCTCCCGGCGTGCACCTGGCCTTCTGATGGACACTGTCTGGGCAGTCCGCGAGGGCGCCCCTTCTCTCGCCTCCAGTGGTGGTGAGGATGGTGCAGTAGGAATGCAGTGAGACACGCTGCCCCATAGCTGGCAGCAAGTGGGCAAGCCACGTCATCTCTGGACTACTCTCCTGGAGATGGGCAGGGCCTGGCTCTGAACTGCTCCCAGCCTTGGTTTCCCAGAAGAGGGGTTAGTAAATTCTGCTGTAAAATATAAATATTGAGTATGCAACACTCAACTTACACGTTGATTCTGCCTTATCTCCTCTTCAGGATGTCAGTGGAGAAGGCAGCCACACTGTCTTTTCTAGAACTCCTTGCAGAGGAGGGCAGAAGGCTGTGACAACTCACACCCTTTCATTTCAGGGCCTCGTAAGGACTTTAACAGAAGTCTCCTCTTAAGTGGAGACTTCAGATGTTGGCAAAACATCCAGGACCTAGTGATTTAAAAATGCTTTGAAATATCACTGTACATATATAGAGTTCATCAGTGAGTTGAGGTAGAGAGCTTAGACTTGAAGGTTATCTTTGTTAGAATGTGAGGAGATGAAGCCTAATTTACTAGTAGTTTTCTTTTTTAACTACACTTTCCTATTTTAGTGAATGTATAATATTTTTAAAATTAAGGAATAAAATAAAATAAGATTCTTCTAAGAAATAGAACATTAGTTAACTAATTGTGTGTGTGTGTGTGTGTGTGTGTGTGTTTTACAAACTAAAGTATTTTTATCAAAAACTTTATCTCAGGAATACAGAAAATTATTTTCCTTTAAATATGCATCTTTAGGAAGTTTGCTTTGCTTCTAAATGAGATTTCATTGTGACTAACTTTCCAATAAAATTTGGTGATTGCTTCTGTTACAAGAATCAATGAGAAATGAGAGTAAGTTCCACATTGGTATCCAGTAGGTTATGAACAGTCAGACTTAATTTCTAATGTAATTTATTTCTATGTAGCCACATATTGGACAGGGGGGTTGCAGAAATTACATCAAAGGGCACATGACTTTTACTTTTAGCTGAATCACCTGATTTAGTTTAAAATTATGTTTTCTAAAATACTTTATTATAGGAATAAAAACTGCAGGTTTTAGTTGGGTGAATGAGTTTGGGCAACAGCAAGAGAAGAATTGACTGCTCTTAACTTTGTGTTTCAGGAAAATTTTTCGGTGCCTTTTGCTGTGTGTTTAGGAACAGAGAAGTTTCAGGGCCTTTTACTTCTCCCTGGGAGTTGCTTCTCAGCCCTCTTAGAATGTCCCGGACACTAGAGTAGCGAGGGGACTGTCAGTGGGAGAGCCGGGAGAGGTAAGGAGGCTGTGGCTGTAGCTTTCATCACTGAAAAGGCAGTAAATTTAGACTTAGTCCCCATGGTGTTCTGAATCTGGTGCCACACCACTAGGACTGGTCTTTGCACAGAATAAGCATGTGACAATTATTTGGGGGTAAATGTGTTCACTCTTGTTATTATCCCCATATGCTGAATGCTTCAGAGTAGAGTTATAGAAGATGGAAATACTTGACTTTTTATTTTTTATTTTATTATTCTTAAAAAATATATTTTATTGATTTTTTACAGAGAGGAAGGGAGAGGGATAGAGAGTTAAAAACATCGATGAGAAACATCGATCAGCTGCCTCTTGCACACCCACCCCCACTGGTGATGTGCCTGCAACCAAGGTACATGCTCTTAATCGGAGTCTAACCTGGGACCCTTCAGTCCGCAGGCCAACGCTCTATCCATTGAGCCAAACCGGTCAGGGCTTGACTTTTATTTTTTTAAAACCGTGTCTGATTATTTTCCTATTTGACACATCTGATCTACTTTGAAAAAGTTATTTTGGTTTCAATGAGGGCAGCTGGCTTCTCTGTCATCTTCTTTCCCACTTCTTTATTTTCCTGTTCTGTCTCTCTTTTTTTTTTTTTTCATCACTCTCTTTTACCTCAAAATACTGGGTTGGGGGTTATCATTGTATATTTGGAAGCAAGGTGATCTTTGACCTTGACAAGAAATAAAAAACTAATTTGCAGTGTGGATGGATGGGATCATATGTTATTGACAAGATGATTTCCCATTTGAGCAATGTGCTGCACACTTTATTATGACACTTTGGAACTTCTGGCTCTCTTGAATTCATTTCCCATATCTGAAATTTTTGGATTCTGAATAGACATGTCTGCTCATTGAGCATGTGCTTCCGTGGTGCCTGGCCTCTGATCGTGTCCTTCTCACTTGCACAGGTTGCACAGAGCATCGAGGACCATCATCAAGAAGTCATTGGTTTCTGCAGAGAAAACGGCTTTCATGGTTTGGTTGCGTACGACTCTGACTACGCGCTGTGCAACATCCCCTACTATTTCAGTGCCCATGCCCTAAAGCTGAGCCGGAATGGGAAAAGTCTCACCACCAGCCAATACCTGATGCATGAGGTGGCCAAGCAGCTGGACCTGAACCCAAACCGCTTCCCTGTCTTCGCCGCTCTGTTAGGTAGGTGGGCAGTGTGGAAGCTGTCTCCAGTCATAGAGGAGTTCTGTACCCAGGACACACTGAGATCTTAATTTTTAAAGCTGGAATGTTTTGGATTCAATCTTAAATTCAAAAGAACCAGGGAATGGGCTCCTCCTCAAAAGCATTTCTTAAGCATTGCTCATAATGTGCTTCTTCTGTTCTAATGTGTTCGTTCCAGGCCGAAAACCGAATTTTGTTAATAAATTCACTTAAAGTTTGGGCAAAATAACAGTTTAAAAAATCACAGATGTTATCACAGTCCGACTCTGAAAATTAGACATTTAAACCTTTCGCATAAGTTGTGTTTCCTATAGAAGAAAGTCTGCTGTTGTTCACCCCCCATCCCCCACCCCACTTTTGGGACGCTCACTACTTTAAAAGGAAAGCAACAAAATTAATCTTACCTTGTTTACAATGCCTACACTTCAATAAATACATACATGTCTATAAAAACTCCTTTGGAGGAATTCCTTATGTTGAATACATAGAAAGGAAGAAATCTTACTTTAAGAATTTATATATACATATATATATATATATATATATATTATGTATATATATTTGCTTAAAAATAATTTTACAGTAGGTAATATATTCGTCTGTCATTTTATGCCTGGATATTATAGTTATTTTTTTTCTTTTGTCAGTTTCTCTGTCTGTAGGCCTGTAAGTACTTGAATATCCATTTCGAGATTGTGCCAGTGTGTAAGAATTGTGTCCGCAATATAAGTAAGCATGTTTTGAGCGCAGCCCTCCTGTGATTCAGATCCATGAGCTGCAGTGATGGGATTGAGGGCTGTTGTAGCACACCAACCCTTTGTGAAAGATACGTGGCCTCACAAGAGTGAGACCACGCTGTACTCTCAGTTTGTATCTGTAGAGGTTAGTGGCCCAGTCTGGTTGTATGGGAATTATATTGTGGAGCATTTTTAGAAATTTCAAATTACCAGATTTTTATGAACATTCTAAAAAATTATACACAAGTAGAAATTATTGTAAGCAAATTTTCACATTTCACAAGCCACACATTTTCAGTTTATTTGGTGTTAGCAAATTGTGTAACTACCACAATCAGTCAACAAACTCAAGATTTCATAAATTGTTGTTTGTTCGGATCTAATCTCAAATATGTGTCTTTAAGTTTGTACGTTTGTTTTCTGATCATCTTCTTAGGCAAATCATGTGACTTGAGATTGGAGGATTAAAACTAATTTTCTAAATATGCTTTCATATTTTTAAATATTAAAATATAAAAGTGTATTCCTATGATGTTAAAAGTGATTATGTAGATGGTCATATTACAAAATGTTTTATATTTACTTAAACATTATACAAAATGACTTGGGGATATTAATTGATTTTTAATAAACTGGAGAAGTGTATGCTTTTAGAATATGAATGCTTTAGCTAGTTTAAGATGTAGAAGGATATTTGTTTATTTTATTTAAGAAACATTGACTATATTTCATGGGAGATAATGCCATCTCATACTCTTCTATGTCATTTTGTGAAATTTTAAAATAAACGAAAGACATTCAGTAGTTACATATTGAATAATTTAGTAATGAATTAATTTAGGGCTTGGAATTTCTTGAAAAAACTTAAGCAAGTTATAGGCAAACTCTTATTAGGTAGGCATTTTTATTTTAGGTTTTGTGTAAAAGTTTCAAAGTCCTCAAATGAGAAAGATTACTATTTTTTTTCTTTTTGTAGTAGAAAGTATAGCTATAAGTAAATTATTTTGCTTTAGAACAGTTGGGTGCAATATTCAAGTAACATGTATTTGACTCATGTTTTAACAGACTATTACTGATGTTGTAATTGGGTAACTATTTTCTTATATAAAAGCTTTAAAAAATCTCAGACACTTCGTATTTCTCAGTAAAGTTCTATGCAATCTGAAGAGAGGAACACAGTGCGAGCAGTTTCTAGACAGCACAGAGCTAAGCTCCTGGGCATCATGGCAGTTCAGCACCTATGGGTCTTGTTTTGTGTGTTTAGAATATTATGATCAGGAATATTCTGCAATATTCCTGAATATGCTGCAAATGATCTCAACCTGTTTTGCTTTCTGTTACCCAATTAATGAGTCTGCTGTCCACGTGGTGGTGACTAAATTATGATAACAAAAAATCACAGAATTACTTAGGAAATAGCTGCTTTTAAATTTTACCGAGATCACTAACATATCGAAGATATCCATATATTAGGCAGTAAGCACTATAGTGAAGGGAGAATGTTTCCCCAAAATGTAGCTTCTTAAAGTGAATACAGTTCTCATTTGTGACATAGCCTGGCGATTGGGTGCACGGCTGAATGACACTGCTTGGTGGTGTTAAGATCTGTTCTTTGTCACATCTATTTGTGAGTGGTGGTAGAAATGATAGGAGGAGGGTATTGATCCATGCCATGGGCAGTAGTCATTGTCACCTAAGTTTTTTTTTTAGATTTTAAAAAATATATTTTATTGATTTTTTTACAGAGAGGAAGAGAGAGGGATAGAGAGTTAGAAAAATTGATAAGAGAGAATCATCTATTAGCTGCCTCCTGCACACCCTCCAATGGGGATGTGCCCGCAGCCACTTGACCGGAACTGAACTTGTGACCCTTCAGTCTGCAGGCCAACGCACTCACTATCCACTAAGCCAAACTGGTTTCAGTATCACCTTAATTTTATAACTGAAGATTTTTACCTTCACTGTTGAACTAGTTTGCAGAATACAATCTTCATTTGAACCATTGGAAACTTGTATCAAGTTGGCATTACCAGGCTGACAGGCCTGTGCTTAGGTAGTAACACAGTGTACTCAGTGTGAGTGCTGCTGGAAATGACTGCAAATTCACGTTGTACTTAAGGCAATTACAAGAAGTGGGCCTGCTGTGTGCTGCTTTATTTTTATTTTTATTTTTTTTAAATATATTTTACTGATTTTTTTATAGAGAAGAAGAGAGAGGGATAGAGAGTTAAAAACATCGACGAGAGAGAATCATCGATCAGCTGCCTCTTGCACACCCCCTACTGAGGATGTGCCCACAACCAAGGTACATGCCCTTGACCAGAATAGACCTGGGATCCTTCAGTCCGTAGGCCAAGGCTCTATCCACTGAGCCAAAGCAGTTTTGGCTGCTGCTTTATATTAAAAGATGAAGAAGTATTCCCAATTTCTGTGTGGAAGTTTTATGTGGTTTATCAAATGAGGTGGTCCTAGAAAGTCATATTGTAAAGTCACAGATAATCTTAGGATTCTAAGGGCAGAGATAATTTCCCTGGGTCCCTATGGTGATGGCTTTTATAGGTTCCATGTTTGCCTTCCAGGAAATCACATTCTACCTGATGAAGACCTGGCCTCCTTTCATTGGAGTTTACTTGGTCCAGAGCACCCACTTGCCTCACTTAAGGTACAAATTCATTTTATTTCCAATATTTATAATATTCAACTGTTGAATTTTTTATTATTTTAACATAAATAATGTTCCTTTGTTGTAGAAGGAACCATGCCACAAAGTTAGCATGCTTCCCCCCAACTTCAGGATCTGCCTTACCTTAAAAAACAATCCACCTTGGCTTATTCCCAACACCTATATTTTAGAAAAATTATAAATTTCCTTGGAGGAATTCTTCATGCCCTATACCTAGAAGATGGAATTCTTTCAGCTAAAGCTTTTATATATTAATTTCCTTACTTACAAATGTGAGTTTTTCAATAGGTGGTAGAGTCACCTCTGCCTGAGATCAGTGTGTTCGCCTGTAGCTGTGTGTAGCCAATGGACATGCCTCTTCCAAGCCTCAGAGCTCCATCCAAAACCCAGCCTTTGCACTTCTCCCTTTCTGATGGAATATTCTGTAGTGTTGACAACCCTACCTTCCAATTCACTGATCTTTGTCACCACCTTCCTTTAATAGCGCCACCTCTTCCCAGGCAGCTGGAAACCAGGGCATCCTATTAGGTCACATCAGGAACAGTTTGTTTTAATTCACCTGGATTTTTTCCAAAGCTATCCTCAACTTTACATTTTTTAATATGTTACCGTCTGCCATCAAAAGTCACTGAACAATGTTTTTTTACAAGTATCTTTAGGAGCAGTGTGTGTTCAACCTCAGGAGGGAGGAATTTAGGCTGGTTCCCGGGAACATGGAGTGGACAGAAGTGTGAGATGGGGGCATATGGCAGGGCTCGCAGCAGATCTCGGGGTGAAGCGCTGGTTAGAAGTTCTCTTCTCTCTCCAGCTTACTTGATGAGGTGCTGTGGGCATCAGCTGCAGTGGCTGCCATGCCACAGTCCACGCCCACTGTGCCTGGGCCATGTTTGTGTTTCATGTCATACATGGAGCCAGCTTCCAGAGTGAAAAGCAGCATAATTTGAGGCACTTTGAAGGTCCATGGTTTATCTCACATACTATGCAACTTTACTTGAGTGAGGTAGGACATCAGATCCTTTTTGGAATCATATTTGAAAGTAAGTTGGGTAGCCCTGGCCGGTTTGGCTCAGTGGATAGAGTGTTGGCCTGCAGACTGGAGGGTCCCAGGTTTGATTCGGCCGGGGGCGCATGCCCGGGTTGCGGGCTCAATCCCCCCCAGCAGGAGGCGTGCGGGAAGCAGCTAGTCAATGATTTTTGATGTTTCTGTATCTCTCTTCTTCCTCTCTGAAATAATAATTTAAAAAAAAAAACATATTCAAACAAACACAAAAACATAAGTTGGGTATAAATTGTACATAAATAGAAAAATGGGCTTTATTCTGAGTTCTACCTTCCAAGGCATATAGGAGGTAGCAGATTGGACACTACAGACATTTCACAGAAGGAAGTCCTGCTTCTATATTGGTGTTAGTTGAAGTTAACCCAAGAAGTCATCCTGTAGTTTGTAAGAGCCAAGCAGCACTTGTAAAGTCCAAGGACATTTTGGGCTCTGGAGGAAATAATGTTAGGGGCCTGAAAGGTTGAGCAAAATAAACCATTATGTAATGTGGAGGTGACAGCTACTTAGAATCCCACTCCTGGAAGATAACCACTTTTCATAGATTGATATTTGATCCTCCAGAATTTTTAAAATTAATTTGTCATTATAATGTCACCATCATTATGCACATGAGCTGCACATTCCTAGCGATCCCAGTGGGATTTCAGTGCTCTGAGCGGGGCTCTGAGCTTTTAGATTGTGAAGCCCTGTTTTTAGTTAAGAAGTTTTATTTTAAATTTATATATGGAATCCCTAAAAAGAAAATATAAAACCAAACTCAAGTTTTTTACTTGTTTATGCCTTTCCATTAGAGCTTCCTTCCCTGTTCCCTATTGGTTTTCAAGTGAAGGTGGAAAGTTCGAAGTTCCAAAGGAATCTGCCGGAATGGGTGGAACTCAAGTATAGCTTTTTTGTCTGTTTTACAGATGTGGGAGGGGTTCCCACATCACATCTCTGGGAAAGGGGCAGAATCTTGGGAAGGATTTGTGCTCCCCAGTTGTTACAGATTGCTTTCAGCTTGCTCGTCCCGTGAGGGACTGGGCCTGCCAGCAGATTCTTCCCGAGCAAGCTGGAATGCATGTTCCACCCAGAAGGAGCAGAAGGAGGCGTGAGAGGGAAGACTCTGGAAAGTACAGTGTTTACAGTGCCCGGCTTCTGAGGCCATGGGTGTCAAGGGAACAAAGGGGAGCTCAACTAGTGGCATTTTTGCTCTGTCTTGTCTTCTCATGATCTGGAAACTTCTAGTTTTATCTTTAATTTAGCAGCTATTTTTGGTCTTTAAGTGTGCAGAACGTTTCTAGCTTATTTCCTCCCCCGTGGATCTGGAACCCCGGCACTGTCCATAAGCAGGCCTTCTCTATCATGAATGGAAGAGATCGTTTGTATTGGAATAAGGCTCTCCTGTCCTCACACACACTGTGCGCCTCACCATGGTCCCTGCACACAGAACACTGAGGTGGCTCACCCTGAGGTATTGCCTTGCTGGAGACGAGACAAATCTGGGGCCAGAGGACATGTAACAGAGTTGGAACTTGCAAGCCAGTTACCTCTAAAACTCATTCTTAGTTAGAAAGCTTTTGTTTTTATGATGGCTTCCTTGAGACAGTTCACTAATCTTAAAAATCTACCCCTTTAACACTAAAAACCAGTGGTGGTCACAGAGCTACATCGTTACTACATACTTTTAGAATATTTTGTCACCCCAGAAAGATACTCTGTGCCTGTGGCAGTCACTCCCCACTTCTCTCCCTCCCTCCTAGCAGCCACTCATTTACTGTGGATTTGCCTCTGCTGGGCATTTTTTTATAAGTGGAATTATGTGACTTCTTGTGCCTACCTTTTTAAGAAGTATAATGTTTCATCAGTGTTGTAGCATGTGTTAGCACTTCATTCCTTTTATATCCAAATAACATTCCACTGTAAGATAGAACTACTAAGTTTATTTATTCACCAGGTGATGGACATTAAGGTTGTTTCTACCTTTTGGCTGTTGTGAATATTCATGTACAAATCCATATGTGGAGCTAAGTGTTTTCATTTCTCAGGTATGTACCTGGGCCTGGAATTGCTGGTCAGATGGGAACTCTGCTTAATATTTGAGGAAAACAGCGGCTACACTGTTTACATTCCTTCCAGCAATTGTGTGAGGGCTGTTTTCTCCACATCCTCACCAACACTTGTTGTTGTCGTCTGTTGTTTTGTCTTTAGCTGTCCAGGGGTATGATGTTGTTTAGTTTATCTCCCTGATGACTGGTGATACTGAACATCTTTCCCTGTGCTCATTGGCCATTTGTGTGTCTTCTTGGGATAAATATTTATTCAGATCCTTTATCTATTTTTAATTTGGATTATTGAGTTGTAAATTTTTAAAAAATATATTCTGGATCTACTTCTCTAATCAGATAGTGATTTGCAGGTACTTTCTGTGGTTGTCTCCACATTCCTTGATTGGGTCCTTTTGATAACTCTTTTGAGACTCAGGCCACCTAAAAGTACCACCTTTTACTGTTTATAATCATGCCACTCAAGTCACTTTGGTCATGTGTTACAGCTTTGGGGATCTTATCGGTCTTCCCCATTGCCTTCCAGAATCCTCTGTGAGCTCAGTGCACTGGAGACCGCCCACAGACAGCATGTTCTTTGTGTCCCTTAACTTTAGGGACTTTATTGTAGCCTTCTAGGCCCAGAGTCCTACATTGGCTCTTCTCCTATCTGAAGCTTTAATATCCCTTCTTTTCTCTGTCAACACAGCCTTCTACCTTTAGTATTCTCACAAGCTGAGACTTTGCTCTTTGGCCCTTGTGGGACCCTCTGCTCATTTTCTCACAGATTCTCTTTCCCAGCCAGCGTGGACCTCCTGGTTGGTTACCTTGAACTGGTTGTATTAACATCACTTGTAATCTTGCTCCTTCTTCCATCTCATCTGCTCAGCAAAACCCTCTACCCTAGGTAGGCGCTGTAGTCAGCATCCACTCATCTTGAAAAGCACATGGCTGAACAGATGGATGCCATACAAATGTATGGACTTAAGTTAAAGAAGGACCTAAATAAGTGGAAGAGAGGTACTATATTCATGGATCAAAAGACTGTTGTTATATATAATAGATTCACTACATTTAATAAAAATTCCAGCAAGCATTTTTTTTTTTTTGTAGAAATTGAGAAACTGATTTTAAAATTGACATGGAATTGCAAAAGACCTAGTATAGCAACTGAAGTGTTGTAAAGGAAGATCAGAATAGAAGGACTTAACGTTACCTAATTTAAAGACTCACTTTAAACTATAATAACTCAATGTGGCGTTGACATAAGGGTAGTCACATAGATCAGTGGAGCAGAATAGAGTCCAGACATAGACCTGTACATGGTGGTCAGTTGTTTTTGCCAGGAATCTCAAGTAACTAAATGGGGGAAGGATAGTTTCTCCAATAACTGTATTCTAATGCAAAACTGAGAATATGAAAATATAAAAGAAATCTTTCTGTTAGGCAGTGATTTTTTAGTAAGAATAAAAAGCAAGCAATGGAATGAGAGGACCTATTTGCAGACTATATCAGTGGTTGGGGACTTCTATCCAGAATGTGTAAAGGACAGCACAATAAGAAGATACAGCCCAACACCAACAGGTGGAGGAGAGTTTTGAACAGGCGTTTTGAAGAGTGTTCAGTGAGCACATAGAGATGGTCTGCGTTATTAGGAAATGCAGGCTAGAACCACGCGAGAAGGGACCAAATGAGAAGACTGACTGATGCTCAGTGTCTGGAGCTGTCAGTACCCACAACTCTCAGGCGTGGCTGGCGGGAAGTAGAGTGATCCCTTTGAAAGTAGGCTGACAGTTCTTACAAAGTTCAATATTACCCACCATATAACGCAGCAGGTCCACTCCTGGGTATTTTACTCATGAGAAACGAAGTCATATGTTCAAACAAGACTTGAACCT